CCCTTCTAATCTATTGGGAAAATCTCTTCTCACTTTAGTTATAAATAGTCTTCTAATCCTGGAAATATTTCTTCGGCTGTGGTAATTTTAGTAATCTTCGACTTTACACATCTTCTTTTCGTCGTTAACTCTTCCACGCGTTTTTTACGGAATTTTGAATATTATTCTTATTCTGTTTTTTATTATTATTATCATTACTGATTAATATCATTATTATTGGTATTATTATTTTTTTCGAATTTTTCCGGAATTGTTCCCGACTATTATTTTCGTTATTTTGGTTAATTATAATTATTTTTATTTATTTTTATAAATTATAATTTCTTGCAATTATTTTTATTATTACGATAATAATTATTAAGGTAAACTATTATTTTTAATTTTATTATTATTTTCAATATTATTGTTATTAATATTTTTTTGATAGTGACGCAAAATTATTGCAATGAAAAAAAGAATAATTAATTAATTAAATTAATTGAAAAATAAATTTATTTCATTTGAACTTTGGGAACTTTAAGATCTCTTTATTATTAATTTAATTAATTTGTATAGCAGTTTCAGATAAATTTTTTTTCGTTCATTTTTCGTTTGTAAAAATCCCAAGTTTGAAAATTTGAAACTTTTTTGGAAAAAAAAGTGAATTGGTATTTTTTTTCCCTTTGGATTTAAAATAATTGCAAGGCAGCATTGTTACACTGTTGTCATTGTGTTTTTATCTTTCATTCTGATAATGACAATCAACTAATGATTTCGAGTATATATATATATACACACACACTTTGCGATATCGTTCTATACGGTGATGGTTTCTACCTGATAAGATAAAACTAGTTCCCCTCTTCTGGTAAACTTACATAGGAAGTAGCCTTCCTTTACAAAAGACATTTTATATATACATACATATAGATTTATATTTGTAATTGTAACTTTGTGTACGCGGATAATTTGCATTTAAGTAGTAGCATCTCTCTGTGTTAAATAGTGTATAAAGAATTATTTTTTTTTCCAACATTATATCCGCATATACATTGTGCCATTTTCTCTCAACATTGTATATAGATAATAAACGTCCCGGTAATACAAGGGAGTTGCGAGATAAAAATAATAGCTCTCGAGATAGAGAGTAAAATGTTACTTAATTGTGTGTAATTAAGAGAAAAAAAAAGACTTTTTTTTCTCTTAACCAGCGTTCACTTCTTCGTTTATCAATAATTAAACAAAATTGTTGTTATCTTTCACGGAAGTTTTTTTTGTCGCTCTCGAAATTATTATTTTATTTATTTTTACCAAAAATAAAAAAAATAGTAAAATTGGAAATAATATCGATATTAAAATAAATTGTTCTTCACGGAAGTTTATTTTTTGGAGCTCGAAATTTTTTTATTTATTTTTCGTATAAAATAGAAAATAATTTAGATTTTTTTTGGAGATCAAAATTTTTTATTTATTAATTATTTAAAATAGAAAATAATTTAGTTTATATTTTTTTGGAGAGGGGGAATTTGAATTTTTTTTTTTTTGAAATCAGAAAAGATATGATTGCATGTCGCTGTATAGGGGAATTCCTTCTTGGTGGTGATGTGGTCTTTTAGTTTGCTTTTAGTTGCAGGGGAGACTCTCTTTTCTTAAAATAACTGTGCACCACAAATTCACGCGATTCGGCTCTTCTACATTTAGATCTTACGATTATGAATGGAAAAATGCACGTGAATTCCTTGGGAATGTGCCAAAAAATCCTCTTGGCTATGACTACCGACTTTGAGGTAGTCATATGCCCGCGAGTCATCGCAATCTTCACCCGAAGTCACATACTCTGTGCAATAATAACATTATCAAATGATAATTAAATTACGATAAATAATAATTTACAAAATTATAATTGCAGTAATTTTATAAATTATTAATTAATTAATTACAATTAATAAATTTAAATATTTATTAATTATTTCTCCTTTCTTAATTAATCGAATTTAATTCTTTATAAAGATAAATAATAAAAAAAATAAATAAAATGAAATTAATGTAAAAATTTGAGTAAAAATTATGTGATACAAATAAATATTTATTTAATAATAGTCAAGTTAGTTATTATTTAAAACAAATAAAATATTGCTCTTCGCTTTTTTAGACTCCAATAAAATTCACAACGTTTATGATCGACAATTATAAAAAGAAGATAAATTTTTATTGTCTACGAGTGTTTATTTTAAAATATGCGTTACAAAAATTCTAAACGAAATATTTTTTCATATGTGAATATTTTAAGAAAATTACCCACTGCTATAAAAATCAAAATAAAAAAATTGAACAACTTGGAATATTATAAATTTTTTTGCGTGACAAATTATTGTTATTTAAATTAAAATCTTGAATTATTTAAAGAAAATATTATTAATTTTTGTAAATTTGTAACAATAAATATTTTTAAAAGTTATAATAAATTATAATAATTATATTAAAATTAATTAGTAAAAGTAAAATAGGATTAGAATGAAAAAATTAGATAATTAAATATATAAATAAATAAATGAAGAATTAAAGAAATAAAGAAATAAAGAAATAAATAATTAAAGAAATAATTAATTAATTATAATTAAAAAAGTTAGTTAAAATGTAAAAATGATAAATATAATGTTAATAAAAATAAATTGGAATTGATTCTTTTTGAGAGTAATGATTAAGAGTTTTGCTCTAAAGGACAGGAATTATTTCGCAGTAAATTAAAAAAAAAAATTTTTTTCGGAAACAATCTGATTTAGTGAGGATTTGAATTATATAAATGTCGAGCGATATGATTTTATATATGTATACATATTAGCGACACTGGAATTAGTATGACGATTTGCGAAATGTTTGCACGGATAATTGGATTGCATAAGAGTGATCATAATCTATGGTGGCATTAAACATTGAAATACGCGAGTAGCTCGTTGCAGGGACGAGTGTCGTGGATATTATTAATATATACAAAACCCGCTTACCTTGGCTTACCCATATCGATTGCTCTGATAAATAGTAAACTCGTATTCCTACGCCAGTCTTTTAAATTTTCCGGTAATAAACCCCCACACGTTTCTGATTTTTCCAATTCTTTATAAACAATTTACGAGAATAGTTTCAAGTTTTTTTTATCATATTATTATTTCCAATGATTATTATTAATATTATTATTAGTTAAATTTGTGAATTTAGTGTCGACGCTAAACGACGACGCTTCCCAAAAAACAATTTTTTGGGAATGAAATCCATTTTTGCTATTTAGCCAGTTTTTAAAAAATTTATCAAGATAGTTTTTTAGTTTAAAATTTTGAATTTAAGTACGACTGAAAAATGGTTTTATTTAACAAAAAAAATTTAGCGTCGACGCTAAATTTACGAATTTTGCTAGTTTGCGATTGTTATAATCGTAACATCGTCATAAAATCCCTTAAATTAATGTGAACACTTTTAGTTTGAAATTTTCAAAAAAGTAATTTCATTTTCTTATTGCTTCAGCGGGGAAAAAAAATTTAGCGACATTTTGCGTCGACGCTAAATTGACGAATTTTATTATTATCGTTAAAGGTCTCTGAAAAGTTAGTGTCGACACTTTTGGTTTGAAATTTGGGAGAAAGTGGTTTCAAGTTTTTTTGGTTCAGCAGTAAATAGAATTTTTGCAACGTTTAGCGTCGACGCTAAATTTACAAAATCTTATTTTACGATTGTTGTCACTAAAATTAAAGCTCCGGAAAATAGCGTCTTTTTTTCAGTCTAAAATTTCGGGACAAAAAATAGTTTTATTTATTTTTTTAGTTCAGCGGCAAAAAAAATTGTCGCGATGCTTAGCGTCGACGCTAAATTTACTATTTTTCTCTAAATTTAAATTGGGTTGAAAAAATTTTTTTAAAACAAATGAAATTGGCAAATTTTTTTTTTTTTTTTTTTTAATTCTTTTGGAAAATTTTTAAGGAAATATTCGTAAACGAGTTAATGAAAATTGAAATGTTTGGTAAGTGACAAGTACGAAAATAAATTTTTGGAATCTTTGAGAGACGGCGAGAGAGGAAGAGAGGGGGTGTATTTTCGAAATGAAATTCCATTGCGATGAGCTGGTGAGAAAGCTCATCGCGGAGAGTTGCTCTTTGAGAACATGCAGTTCTCAGCTTGTAAGTCGTTTCTAATCTGTCGTTTGGCAATGTTCCTTGTATTTATATAACAATTTAGGTCGTTCGCACTCGCTCCTTGTGTCCAAGTTCTGATCGGAACGTTGCCTAAAATGTCTTCACCAGACCAACAACACGAGTTATTTCAGAGTGGCGCCTGCACTTGCCACTGAATTTTCAAATTTCTTCCTTTTTTTTCTTCCTCTTTCTTTTCTCCTTCTTAAACTTTTTTGAGATTGCAATTTCAATTTTTTGAATTTTTGCTGTTTTGAATTTAAGCTTTTTTTGAATTTGAGCTTTTCTGAATTTGAGCTTTTTTGAATTTTAGCTTTTTCGATTTTAAGTTTTTTAAAAATTTTATAGCTTCTTTTGAATTTAAGCTTTTTTGAATTTTTCAACTTTAGCGATTTTCAGCTTTTTTAATTTAAGCTTTTTCGAATTTGAGCTTTTTTGAATTTTTTAACTTTAGCGATTTGAATCTAGGATTTTTTTGGAATTTAAACTTTTTAGCTTAGATATTTCCAACTATAGGGTTTTTTAATTCAGGCTTTTTTTACTTTAAGCTTTTATTAATTTTAAATTTTTTCTATTTTATCGATTTTAAATTTAGGACTTTTATAACTTAAGCTTTTAATAATTTTTTGGTTTCTTCGACTTTAGCAATTTTTAATTTAGGCTTTTCTGAATTTAAGCTTTGTCGAATTAAAGCTTTTTCGAATTTTAGATATATTCCTTTGTCTTGATTATTATTTGTCCCCTAAAAGACGAGTCGTAATAAAAAAATACAAAAAAAAAAAAAATAAAAAAAGTATTTAAAAGTAAAAAAATAAAATTTTGCAAAAAAACAAATCTCACCTTAATGTCAAGGTGCGCAACATTGAAGGAATGAAGAAAAGCTATTCCATCGAGGATCTGTCTAAGAAGCCTTGCAACTTGTCTTTCCTCGGGTATTTCATCTTTATCCAACACCATCTGTAATTCTCCACCGGGAGCCCTGGAAAATAAAAATTCAACTTGAGAAACAATGACAAATTTTCCTCCCTGCTTTTTCTTATCTTATTTTTTACGAGGAAGGCCGCTTTATCTTTAATAAACACGATAGGATTCTTTGATAACAAAAGAGAGAAAAAAAAAACTCTTGAGAGACAATTTTTGTTTTATACTTTATTTTATTTTTTCAAAGATTGCAAACGTTTTCTTTTTTTAAGCCCCTGGATTCCCGTTGTTTAAATGATAAAAAAAGAAGAAAAAGAAGAACAAAAACAATTTTCACACAGTTTGATAAAAGAAAGGTATTTTTATAGATAAAACTTTCGTTTCGTGACTGATAAAAATTTCACACATCTTTAGTGTGTGTTGCTTTGTCACTGGTAACAATTATAATAAATTTAATTATCGTTCGTTGATTCGAGATTTTTTTTCGTTAATTAAAAAAAGAAAAGAAAATAATTATTGGCAAGTTGATTAAGTGAAAATAATTATTAAAGTTAATTCAATAGCAATAAAATTTAACTTTACGTTTAATATAATTTTTTCTATACTTGTTTTTATTATAAAAAACATTTAATTTCGATTATTTCCTATTAGAAATTATTTTATGTTCTGAACGTTCAATTGAATGAAATTTATTTATTTAATTAAAAATTAAATTAAAATTTTAAACAATTGATTTTAAATGTATAAAAATTAAATTAAAATTTGAAAAAAATTATTTTAATTTAAGTTAAAATGGGAAATGGAAAATTTAGTGGAAAATGTAAATAATTATATTTACAATTCAAGAACGAGGACCATCTCGGTATTCGTTTCGAAGACTTGATGAAGAGAAACGAGATGAGGACAATGAGCCGCAGCATCCAGCACTGCAACCTCATGAAGTGCCTCTGCACGAAACTCCTGCGCTCTTCTTCGTTTTCTCAAAAATTTTGCTGCCCATTGCCTCCCACTGGACCTCTCTCTGCATCTTCGGACAGTTGCATATTTTCCCCTGTAAAAAGAAAATTAATTCTTTAATAAGAAATTTCGATAAGAGTATATTCAAAAAATTCTTCTCAATTGAATGATTTGCAATTATTCAATTATTTTCAATATCTGCGATTTTAAAAAAAATTTCCAAAAGAATTCAATTATTTATTAAAAAAATTTGATAAAATTCTTCTCTGAAATTCAATTATTTAAAAATATTTTATGATTTTTCTACTCAGTAATTTAATTATTTTAATAAATATTAAAATTCTTTTTAGGAATTCAATTATTTTCATAAATAAAAAAAACTCATCTTAGAATTTTAATTATTTTTTAATAGGTACAATTTTAATCGAATTTCTCGCAAAGAATTTAATTGTTTTCACAAAATTCCCCAAAAATCATTCAAAACAATTCAATTATTTAAAAAAATTTTTTAAAATTCGCGTCAAAATTTCAGTTATCTTTATAAAAAATAAAATTCAATTATTTTTAAAAAACTTTAATAAAATTCTTGTCGGAAATTTGAATTATTTTCAAAAAATTTATCTCAATTGAATGATTTTCAATTATTCAATTATTTTCAATATCTACGATTTTAATAAAATTTTCCAAAAGAATTCAATTATCTAAAAAAAAATTTGATAAAATTCTTCTCTGAAAGTCAATTATTTTCAAAAATAATAAAAATTTCGCAGGAATTCAATTATTTAACATTTTTTAAATAATTTTTCTACTCAATAATTCAATTATTTTCATAATTAATACAATTTTTTACAGGGATTCAATTATTTTAATAAATAAAAAAATTCGTAAAATAATAAAAGTTTTTACAAGAATTAAATTATTTTCAAATATTTTTTCGCAATAATTCCATTATTTTCAAAAATAATAACATTCTTTTACAGATTTAAATTATTTTTAATACAATTTTAATTGAATTTCTCGAAAAATATAATTATTCTTAAAAATTTTATTAAAATTTATCAAAAGAATTCAAATATTTAAAAATTTATTGATAAAACTCTTTATCAGAATTCAATAAATTATTTATTTTTATATTTAAATAATTGAATTCTCGTTGAATTTTCCAATAAAAATTTATTAAAAAGTGAATTTCAGATAAAATTTTAGATAATAACTGAATTTTAAAATATAAAATTGAATATTAAAAAAATATCGTAAATTTTTAAGAATAATTGAATTTTAAAAAAGTTTCTAATTAAAAACTTTGAAAATGTGAATTTTTCATATTTAATTGAAGAATTTCCAATTAATAAAAATTTTTTTTTTTTGAAAAATTGAATTGTAAACAAATGGATTTGAAAATTTTCGAAAAACTTTGTCAAAAATTATTAAAAATAATTGATTTAAAATTTTTAAGAAGAATTTTCATTAAAAATTCTAGAAAATAATAATTGAATTGAAATGATGAAAATAATTCTGAAGAAGTTACAGTAAAAATTTTGAAAATCTTAATTTCTTAATTCTTATTTGTAAAAATTAATTAATTACTTTATTGTAAAAATAATAATGATTAAAAATTTATTTAAAAAAGAAGTTACTGGTGTTTTCGAACAATTTTATAGTTAAAGAAATTCGTAAATAAATTTAATAGAACATTTTTTTGAGTGAAAAATCATTTTTAATTAATAATTTTTAGAGAGAAACAGAATATTTTTTAGGGTACGTCAGGGAATTGTTTTGAAATCAGGGAAAAGTTAAGGAATAAAATAAAATAAAATTTTTTTTTGCAATCCTATTGATGCAATTCAAAAATAAAATCGGTATAATTTATTGTATTATAAATATAATTTGTACCTACGAAAAGCAACAATAAAATAAATAGATACCCATAGAGAGAAAAGAGATAGACTTTGAAAATATCTTTGAATGTAAATAATAATAAATCGCATTTATAATATTCAAAAGAAAAATGATTCACCCATTAAATCTCGCATTTAGAAAATAAAGGCACGACTTCAAAGTGCAAATTCGTCATATCGTGAGAATCACGATTCGATCTAAAAGCAAAGCGCGCGCTCGCTGGTTCGCTGAGAGAGACGACTTTTGTCAGTAGAAAGTGAATGTGCTTTGTAATGCTCTAGTTTGCCGAGTCGTGCGTTCCTGCGAATCACAGCCTTCTCGAAGTCCACACCAGTCCACACAAATCCTCGCTAACTCTCGTGTTTAAAAGTTCCTATACATACAGTGAAAGCACCCACGTCCCTCCCCACAACATTACGTAAAATTCGCGCACGAGGAAGTAGCATTTTCTCCTCGATGCTCTGAATTTGCGGTATATAACGATTCACTGTGAATATGTCGATCGAAAAGGAGAATAGTTTTCTGATATGTATGATTATTGCATCTGCTGCCTGCACATTGGTACTATATTGACATCGGAACCGTGTCTCATTTCTATCCATTTCTCTATAATAATATATACACAATCTTCAATCTTTTTTCTTTCCGAGATGCTGAGATATTATTTATGATCACAATAGAGAAAATGCTCCACCTATTCATTCGGGAGCACGATTTTCATGTTTGCTTTTTACTCCCGAGACACACGCGAGATAATGAGAAAAATTCTGTATTTTATTCTAATGCTGTGGTCATGAATTTAGAAGTTTCGAACACAGGCTTCGCACTCATCTACTAAAACCTACTATTTACTATTTTTTTGTTACTATTTCTTTTTACTATTTGGGTATTTTTCTTAGATTTCAGCCACTAAAAGCTACTATTCCAGTTTTTTTTTAAGAATTTCCACTACTTAATTCGCTAATAATAGAAATCAAAAAAACTATTTTTATTTAAACAAAAATTGATAAAATTAATCCAAAATTCAATTATTTTCAGAAATAATAAAAATTCCCCAGGAATCCAATTATGTAATTTAGAATATCATTTAAAAAAATGATAAAATCAATTATTTAAAAAAATTTTTATACAATTCTTCACAATAATTCAATTACTTTCACTAATAATAACATTTTTAATGGAAATTCAATTATTTAAAAAGATTTATGATATATATCTAAGCGAGAATCCAATTATTTTCAGAAATAATAAAACTCATCGAAGAATTTAATTATTTAAAAAAAAAAAATTTTAATTCATCCAAAATACAATTATTTTCTCGCATAAATAATCAAATTTCCACAGGAATTCAATTAATTCAGAGCAGCATTTAAAAAAAATGAAAAAATCAATTATTTACAATAAAATGTTCATAATGTTTATGATATTTCGAAAAAATTAATAATTTAAAAGAATGTTTATAAAATTCTTATGAAGAATTCAATTATTTTCAAAACTAACAAAATTTTTTACAAAAATTCAATTCTTTTTAATCATTTTAATAAAATTTTTCGCAACAATTTAATTATTTTCATAAATAATAAAATTCTTCACAGGAATTCAATTATTTTTGAAAATTTTAATAAAATTCTTAGCAACTATTCAATTATTTTCGAAAATAAGAAAATTTTTAACTTAAATTCAATTTCTTTAAAACATTTTAATAAACTTTTTCGCAATAATTCTATTATTTTCATAAATAATAAAATTCTTCTCAGGAATTCAATTATTTTTGAAAATTTTAATAAAATTCTTTGCAACTATTAAATTATTTTCATAAATAATAAAATTCATTGCAGGATTTCAATTATTTTTTAATACAATTTTACAGTAATTGCTCAAAAATATGTAATTATTTTTATAAAAAATTAATTTCAATTTCTCGAAAAAATTAATGATTTAAATAATGTTTTTTTTAAAATTCTTGAGAAGAATTCAATTATTTACAAAAATATTAGAATTTTTCATAGGAATTCAATTATTTTCAAATATTTTAATAAAATTGGTGGAAAGAAATCATATTATATTTAAAAATTTATTGATAAAATTCTTTACGAGAATTCAATTTAAAGAAAAATTTAATTCTTCAATAAATTATTTATTTTTGTATTTAAAAAATTGAATTTTCGTAAAATTTTCTAATAAAGCTTGATTTAAAAATTAATTTTAGTTAAAATTTTAGATAATAATTGAATTTTTCAAATCAGTATTGCATGAATTTTTAGAAATAATTGAACTTTTGCTAAAATTATTAAAAATAAATGATAATTGAATTTTTTCGAAGAACTTTAATAAAATTTTTGAAATTAATTACATTTTTCGAAGAATTTACTTAAAATTGTATTAAAAATAATTGAAATCCTCAGGAAAATTATATTATTTAGGAGAAAAATTGAATTCTTGCTACGAATTTTAATAACGTGTTTTTTTTAAATAATTGAATTCCTGTAAAGAATTTTATTATTTATGAAAACTATTGAATTCTTGCAAAGAATTTTATTACTTTTTTTAAAATAATTAAAATCCTGTAAAGAATTTTATTATTTATAAAAAAAAAATTCTTTGGAAGAATTCAATTATTTACAAAAATATTAGAATTTTTCACATGAATTAAATTATTTTCGAATATTTTATTAAAATTGTTCCCAAGAATTCAATTATTTACATAAATAATTCTTCAAAATAATTATTAATGTCGATAAATAACAAAATTATTTTAGAAAATTCAATTATTTTGAGGCACTTTAATAAAATTCTTTGTGAAATTCAATTGTTTTCATAAATAATAATATTCATCACAAGAATTCAATTATTTTTAAAAGTAATAAATTTCTTCTTGAAAATTCAATTATTTTCAAAAAATTCTAATAAAATCGTTCGCAAAAATTCAATATTATTGTAAAAAATTTTATTGAATTTATGAATTTATGAATTCTTTGAAAATTTAATTATTTTTAAAAACTTTTCGCAATTCTATGATTTTCAATATCTAGGTACTATATTTTCATAAAATTTCCAAACAGAATTCAATTATTTAAAAAATTTTTGTAAAAATCTTCGTAAGAATTCAATTCTCTTCATGAATAATAAAAGTTTCTTAAGATTTTAATTATTTAAATTAGAATTTGCATAAAATTAGACGAAAGAAATCAATTA